CGAATGTGAGTGATGCTTTGATGAATCAGCTTTGTCAACTTGTATAGCTTGTTCTCCTGATGCTTCTGGCAGATTTTACACGCTTTCTCCTTATTCTGGAAAAGGACTACGAAATCTGCGCTTTTATTTCCATTTTGCATGTGGTGAAAATTCAAATGCAACGTAAGTACATATGTACTACTCTTAACACCAGATTAAACCACTGAATTTGAGTTGGGGTAGTTTGTTTTCCAACTAGAGTATCTTTCTTCTCGTTCTGAACATTTCCTTCCTTTTAAAACTGAGTTCAGGCGCACTTTGGCTCTGACGAACCTGCGATCATTGCCTGCACTACAGCTGTTCAGCATCGCGACGTACTGTATTGTTTTTCATGTTAATAGGGCCAAAACTGAATTTATTCCTGACGTCGTTTGGGCCTTTTCATGTCCCTTTTTGCTTGTCTAAAAAAAGAAATGCTCACAAAAATTAATTTGTGCTTCTCGGTTAACTTTACAAGTATTTAATTCCTATGGCACTTTTCCTTGCTGCAGTTCAATTATGACATCGAAGTCACCAGTGATGAACCTGTTTGTAATAGTTTTTTCATGCTCATGCACTTCTTCCGGTTCTTCGTAAAAATCTTCAGTGTCTTCTTCAGGGAATGTTGCTGTCGGTGCATATGCACGGATCAGTTGGAAATATATGTAAGGTAAATTAAATAGGCGGTTCATCCCATAACAGATATTTCGAAAATTAATATTTATCTGGCAAACTAATCAACTTCCATAATGGAACTGCTAAAGCATCTCATCACAGAATTTGAATGTAATCGCAAACAAATTTCACCAAAGCCACAACAGAGAAATTACCTTGCAGTCGTACGGACGTAGCGGTTGCATTAACACATTATTAAGAAAGCACCGAATCACCGATCGCCGAAAACATCAGTGATCACGACTGTTACTATCATCGCCTCTGTAACTAGCAAAGCTTTACTAGCAAATCTGCTGTAACTGTTCCTGTCTGACTCGTTCGAAACGGTGTCGCGACATTTCATTAGTTATCATTTGCAATGGTCACAGTCCTAGTAGCGAACAAGTCTCAGTTTAAAATATGATAAATAGGGGAGGGTGAGTGTTCATATCAGAGCAAGCATTAGTTCGTACAGTGCTGCATGCATTGTTTATTTCAATCAAGAGGACTTTCAATGAAACATAAG